GTCAATTATTATAATACTTTAAGAAATTTACTTATGAAAATTGAAAATTTAGATGTAGAAGTAGTAGAAACCATCTTAGATGAATGCACGAACACAAAAACGAACATTGAAGATATAAATACAAATGTAGTGCAAAGATTACATAACGATATTCTTTCGCGTGTAAATGGGGACTTATTATCGCGTTTTAAAACTTTACTCGAATCCAATAAGAGTGTTCGAAAGACTGTACGTGTCACCCAGATACGTACGATTAGATCACCGGAGTTGAGTCCTGCAGAAGATCAATTTAAGACTACATCAGAAGAAAATGAGCATCTTAAGACAGAAAGTACAGTGTGCGAAACAAGATCGACAAGCTTTAATGGAAGTCAACCAGATAAAAACCTACGGTATAAATTGTATCCAATAGGTACAGAAAACAACGTACAGTTCTTCTTACATGCAGAATTATTTTTACTTTTCTGACCATTATAATTTTTAGATAATTTATCGAAACCATGTTCTGCATTGTCTAGAAGTAGATTTCCGGAAGTTTATTTAAATATACGAAGGCTGGAGGAAGGACTTATACATGATAATTATACGCATATTATGTCAATTCTGAATGGAGTACGAAACGAAGAACAGTCAAGTTTCACTAAAGCCACGTATCAAATACTATGTAATCAAATTAAATATTCTCCATATAAGTTGACTAAAATAGCAACAACCGCAGGTAATATTATTCAGTAAAATTTAATGTCTGAAAGATGTATATCTTCTACATATTTTAAAAATCTATTTCTGTTCCTAATTCACTTTTATATGTTGTCATTCATATCATTTTGTAATAAATTATCATTTATCCATTTATTTGATATTTAACATACACGTAATAGATAAATAATTTGTAATGTTCTCAAAGTGTACATTTAAAAAGAATCGGACAATTTTAGAAAAGATATACAACATAGTTTGTTTGAAACAGTAAATTGATTTCTGTCCTATTCATTATAGAAAGTTTCAGTGTAAGCAGTAATCATACTTTTAAATCATTTTTGTATTAATATTTGAATAAATAAAATGAAAATTTTCTATACTCAGATGTTACAATTTATTTAAAAACATACCTAACGCTATCATACTTTTGTTTCGGACATTACAGTCCAGACGGGTGGGACAGCTACCTTTTACGAGATACTGGCAGAAGTTACTATACTTACTTTGGCTAATTTAGCCAAAGAAAAACTTTGGGTACTGGCGTATAGGCTAATGAAAGATTTTCGAATCATTTTCGAATCTAAAATGGAAATGTACAAATTAAATGCTGCAACCGTGTTGCTTTTTGCGGAGATATATTTAGAGAATAAGAAAGCTTTCGATGCTTTCACTTTGGTTAAACGTGAGTTAGTTAAATTGTATCGCATTTTTCTAAAAAAATGAAAAACAGATAGGTAATTTTATGAAACTGTATTTTTACAGGAACCAATATCATTTACAGTAATCGGCACAGATGGAAGGTACAAAGTGTTAAGGACGATAGCTCGACTAGAGTAGAAATAATAAAGCTTTTATTAAATACATTTTGCGAAACGCATCCGCATCATGGTCTTGCACTTTTCGATTTAATAGCTGAAGATCAGAGTAAAAATTTTATTCCAATTGGTAAGAAATTCGTTTTTGCACTGGATTATATAATGTAACATTTATTAATAAGTTCCATATTTACATACATATATAACAAGTGTAAACGAATAAAGACACGACGTTATTTACAGACCTCAACAGTCTTGCAAACAAATTGGTACTTTCAATTGTACTGACGAAAGATCGTGACATGATAGTAGATATTACGAAATTAATCAGATGTTATGGGCTCAGGTTGAACAGTATTACATTTAGCACTTTGCTTACTGCATTATTCCACATCGACATGAATTTAACTAAAGAAATGTATAGATTTGCAGTTGGTTTAGGCATGTACTCCACACCGCAGGTAAACAATATAAATTTATATAAAAGATTACATACGTGTGTATGATTTTAATCACTCTTTGAAATTAGTTTCGTCCGGTAACGTATTTGATTATAAACGTTAACTGGACGAAGGAAGAGATACATCTTGCAATGCTGAATTTGCTGGAACATTTATCTTCGAATATTGGCCATGCAATCGATCATGTTCATCCAAATGCGTGTGGTATACATTTAATTTTTGAGGCAAGTTATATTTTTCATGAAATCTCACGTCGGCCCATTGCATTTATGAATTACATTTCATTTTCTTTTGTAGGACATTCCTACGGACAAGCGTCTGTTCGAAAATAGAATATCAAACGAGGAAAATGAAAAAATCAAAGAAACAAAGATACTAGTGAGAAAACTCTTGCAAGAAGAATTTGATCCACCTATTTTATTCATGCATAGGGCGGGAAGAACACAACGGTTGACTGGCAAGAGTGTGTTCGCATACATAAAGCGTAATTTTTCGTAATTGTTGGCGATCTTCGATCATGATCATCTCTCTACTGCTTCATTCATCCACATTTAGATTTTATACATATTCTCCTTATGTATATTTTAATAATTGATGTATTCATATTTGTAAACATTTTATATACGCCAGATTAGTTACAAATTCCAAAGAGGATACTTAAGTAGGAACTCTTAAGTTTATTGATGAAATGTATAATATAATTTAATTATAGTACATAGAATATGTACACGTGCAAGTTAATTGCACACTTTAAGAATATGTAACAATTTTACAAAAATATATAACATGTGTTTTATATGATCAATTAAACTGTAGATGATTTAATAATCTTCATTTATCTTCGTTAAGCTCAATATTTGCACATCGTGTGTTAATAAAACACTAATGCAAAAGTGAAAACCGACAGCTTGTACAGAAGAGTATGACATAAATTAAATACTTAACGCAACAAGTTGTACTTTTTGGCTATTCTCATGTGAAAAATCTAACTCTGATCAATCAAACTCTGGTATATCATCAAAAGAATAACCTGGTACCTTTTGATAGGCTAAAATAGCAACCCTCATATGATAAGCACCTGGTATAAACATTAGAATTCCTAGGATAATAATTGGCCACATACGGTCTGCATACTGTAAAACATACATAATTATTAAACTTACGATCATGTTACGTCAGGGATATACTGAACATACTTTGAATACACTTTACCTTTGAATCAATGTATCCACATACAATTAGACTACCTACAATCAGCATGATGGTACCTCCAACAAATAGGAGAGCTGCTAACATAATAGCTTTCCATGGTATTTTTATAGGTGGTCTCACGAACTGCAAAGGAAAATATATTTTAGACTTTACATTTACAACTGAATTCTCGAAGATGTGTGATATGTAACCTGGGAATCAAAAAACCCATTATCGGTTTCGAGTAGCTGTGTGTAATCCACGTTGTTGAATTGTTTATTACTGCCGAGTTTTCTTCTGGACATATTCACCCTGCGAATGTCATCTGTGAAACCAGATTAGGCCCACATGTTGTCTTCGATTCGTAGTAATTCTCGTGCACAACAATTTTTATAATATGGGTTTTATCAGTTTAAAGACACACGATATAAAACACGTTCGCACTTGACTACGTTGACATCATTTGTGTCCACTCCACTCCACTGTCTCACCTCACCTGTCTTAAGTAAATATTTAAAATATCGACGTACCGATAGTAATTCCAACAGTCGGTAGTTCAACTATCGTTGCCGGCAATATCTATTGCCGATGTCACACTGTCAGTGTGCCGGTACTTCAAGAATCTACAATTACAGGTTTTTGAATTCTTATGCTTGACACATTTAATACCGGAGAACCAGATTCATTTATAAATACCGTATTTTAAAAACCATTAAGATTAACTTCCCCTACGAATGTAAGCTTAAATCACTTAAATTAAGGTCCAAGATTTCATCCGCTATAGGAATCTACACATGCGCTTTCTATAAAATCGATTCAAACGATTCTTGACAAAACTTTAATGTCAAGACGTAAAGGTCTTACTATCAAGAAGAGTTTGCCCGCGGCACACCAGTTATCCCACGTATCACTTAATGACTGCATATTATTAATGACTAGCCGTATTTAAAATACTATTCAATTCTATTTAGTTTCCCCGGTTTGCTATGAATAATTTAATTCATTCACGGTTCTCGATTGAAGAAGTGCATAATTCCGAATTCATTTTACTGGAATTTTTATCACTTCATCTAATAAATAAGGCGAAGGAAAGATTCTTTGCGGTACTTATTTAAATACGACATAATGCTTTGGATACTTCATTTCTTATACGAAATGATTCTGAATTTCGAAAGGAAAAGCAAATCCTACAGCAGATTATCCATAGGAATTTCATGGAATAATCAGGTGTTCCACGTCGTTTTTAGGCCACGTCCGTCGAAGGAATACACTTGATCAGCAATTTATAGTACAGATTAAACAGAATTTAAGAAATTAAAAGAATTACGACCTCCTTTTCGAAAGATCCACGCTTGCAGCTGGTACAGCTTAATTTACACTTTTTATCAATCGAACCTGATTGAAAATAGAGGAAGCGTTGGAAGCTGTGCCTTTCTGCGTCGCAACGCGTCGCGGCGCGCGGCGCCGCGACACTGATTGCAGCGTACAATGGACGTGAAAGATTTTGTACGAACTAACTTCAGGTACCTAGTAATTACAATAATTGTAACATATTAACACAGACATTCATAGATTCCACAATTGAATACATACTTCTTAACAAATCATTGATATATACGCAGTTGCTTATTACTATAAAGCTGCCCACTAAGAGTAAAATTCAACCTCAGAGACTGACAGAATGAGAAATGATAGTTCAGCAAAGTTTATGTCTATATATGTACTAAGGGCAGAGAATGTTACAAGCTGCTACAAAATTGAAGGCGCCTGCGCTGCGTGGCACGATGGTGTCCGGTGCACGGAGGGTAACGGTGGCCTAGGGGTGGCAGTGCTAGTTCAAGGGGCGACGAGGGCGGGTGCCTCCGTTGGAACTACCCCTTGACAACAGCCTGCAATCGTTCTCGCCGTCATCCATTCACACGCCGCGGTGATATTCTCGCTTATTTCGACAATCGAACGTCCGCCGATCAATCGCGCTACTGTGTCCTTATCATATTGCAGACAAGGATCACCGGACGTCAGGTTCCATCCAGGTAAATCGAACGTCAGTGTAACGGTATCACAGTGTTCCTCGATGGAGTTCGTCTAAAGGATCGGTCTAGAGACGATTATTTCGCAGTGGTGTATCCCCTAAGGGTTTGTCAGTGCGTTCTCAGCTTGCATAGTGCTTCCTGTTGTGACACTGCCGTGACATCGGCCTCATTCCCTGTAATAGTCACCGAAAGCGCATTACTGCTTAACTGCTCATCAATAACTGATGATACACCTCGTACGCAGCCACAGGGATGTCGTTCTACGTTTGGATTTCTCCCCCGATATCTCGTGTGCTCGCATTTTTCTATCCTGATCACGTTTGAGAAACGAAAATGCTTAGTTGTTCTGGCAACGCGAGACGCGCTCAATTATGATACGAAAACAATAGAGTTCTGATTGCGCAGACATGTGACGCGGGCGGGTATAATAAATTAACACCGATAAATCCGTTGAAATATTCCAGGTGAAGTAATCCCATTTTAGAAGCCGAAAGAAAGGGATTCTGAAGAATTATTCTCTCTGCTTTGCTGTGTCAGCGATTTCACGAGTCATAAAGGATGATCCCATCAAGTTTTGTTGGACTTTCTTTTATTAGAATTGAACTACTTTCATCGGGCTCGTTGTTTTAAGCGCTTCATTGTCTTCTGGTCACAATAATTCCAACGTAATACTTAAACATTCATTGGGAATGGCGTGTGAAATACGGCTGGCATAATGTTGCGAAATGAATGTTTGTGCGCAGTTTCTATTATTGTTACTATTATTAATATTATTATTATTATTATTTAATCGGGAATGAGGGACATAATTTTATTTATCATGAAAATAGTTCATTCAGTGCATCAGACCATTTCGTTGTCATAAATTCAATAAAAATTCAATGGCTCCGATCAAGATTGTGTTCGATGTTTATACGCTGAACCAATCGATATGCACATTCTATATCTGTTTTCGGTTCATCGATTGGATCAATATCTCTTGCAACGTAACTTTAACACTCTGACATTCTACGTAAAGTGATTTTACAGTATATTTAATTTGTCAACAGAAACCAGTCAACAAGAGTTGTTCGTTTACCCACTGCCTGTTAAAATTAATGACCTTTACGAACGTTTGTCAATTAAAACGTGAATAAAAGAACGTCGCTCTGGAGAAAACGAAGAGGGCTAATTTATCTTTGTTTTAATCAACGCCAACTCCTTGTCACTTTATTATTCATCATAATACGGTTGACGTAATGCGTCGTTTAAACGTGTTGTTTCTAGCGATACTAGAGATCCCAGTTATTAGCTAATAACGAGAAAATACGGGAATTATATCGATAACGATTTCGTTGACAGCGCTTGTACAACTAAGCTCGTTACGTAGACAGATAACCGTCGACACTCGACAGATAATGCGCTTTAGCCTCATCCAATCATTTCGAACAACAGAAGAAAGCACTAGTGCTTTAACTTACAATAAGATCTTCGACCTTCCAGAATTTACTCTGCGAAATATCCGTTTCCTTAATTTTGTTCTTTGGCTCTTAAGACGCGAAGTTCTCAAGTCTGAAAGTTTGAATCCTTGAGCGTTCGAACTTCTAAGTAAGCCTCAAGCACACCCGCGAGCTTCCACAGTTTTATGCATCGAATATCCCAAGTAACGAGTTCCGCGGCGCGTTTTCCTCTACAATTCATTCTTGTCGCTGCGATCTTTCATTCGTCGGGATCATTGTATTCCGTTTGAATTAATATTCATGTATCACTTTTTAACGAGCATTCTCTATTCTCACGGAACGTCGAAGGTCGAAACTATTAACACGAAAGATAATGAATACGAGTCTGACCTAGCACGGGCACATTTTACTCGTGGCGATAAGCTTACCGGTTGCTCTTCACCGGTCGTAGCGACGTTTCAAAAGTTCAGAAGTGCCGGGAATTACGTAATCGTCGTCACACAGGAGCGGATTATCGATAATGCATCTGTGAACGAACACGAAAACGCGCGAGTCAACCTCCACGTTGCCCCTTTAATGTTCGCTAATCACAGGTCAATTTACCTCGCCTTCTTTACGACGTTTCGATCCGTACCAATCGATCGCATGTTTCTCCTCGAGAGAATTCGTTTAAATCACGATTACAAAGCTTGCTTTTCGAAATTGTAGATGCGAATTATTAAAGGCACGTTGAGAATTCAAGATCATGCGAAACTTATTTAATAATGCATTTCAGTCTGGAGAAAAATTTACAGGGCGAATTTAAATACGAGGGAAAAGTCTGTAGAAAGTAATTTTGTTGAGCGCGCTGTGGGATAGAGCCACGTGCGTTTTATAGATGGACCAAATGGGGTTCGTGCCGCTCGCACAATGATATCTTGGTAATTAGTTTCAGTATGGAGGGCCCGGAAGTGGCGGTTCGAGGTCAGAACTTTCGTCTGCTAGCCGAGGAAGAATTGCCTGAGCTGTTGGATTTTCTTGCTAACTACCTGCCTGAATCTCTTAAGGTGCGTGCCAGTTTTATATTTACCGACTAGAGAAAATAAGATGCTGTTCATCGAATTTCGCATAACATCGTACTATGCGGAAGGAACATGCGCAATCACGAGCTGGCGTACAACAAAAAATGACCATTCCAATTTCGTTCGACCTTCGTGGAACGAAGCGACACGTAAATTTACGTGCATAGGATGCATGCCAGGATTAATATCGCAAGGTTAAGGTCTTTGGAATTCTCTGCTTTGCATCTTGTAAGGGAATTTAACACGAACAAAGGCCGACACCTGTACACGTTCGCCGCCTTTAAATTATCCTACCGAAGTCCTTGTCGGCTACCTTTCTATTCTAAACACGATCGGTTCTGCTCTTTCCAACGGGCTCGACTGAACCGAGATTCGAAAAGCGAAGTAAAAAATCGCAGGAGGCAAGAGCAGTAGAATTCGTCAGTGGGTCGGGATGAAAACGGAACGGAGAGGATAATTCGCAAGGGTCCTTGAGGGAGAGGCCGCGAATCGGCGGGATGAAATTACCGACGCGGAGGAAGCAGTCCACGCGTAGTATTTCCGTCGTAACCCGGTTTAAGTGACCGGCCGTTGCGGCAGGTTAGTGTCAAGGCCGCCACAGTTGATACTTACAGGTCGTTGTGCGCGTAAAGCGATTTTCTTTTCTTTTTTTTAAACGTTGCACGAGATTGACGGATAAGGCTGTGCGCGCGCGCCGATTGCGCGACTGCAAAGCCGTTTGTCGCAGCATTTGACGGCCCCGCGTGCTCAATCGCGCGTGTAAGAGCCGTGATATTTTTTCGTCACTTTCCACCCATGGAGCCGCGATCGTTTATTTTAACGCTGGTTCAAGGAGCTTCCGTCGCTTTACGTTCCGCTTTATCGCCTGTTAGAATCGTTATGCGGCAATAAGACGATATCCTGCATCATCGAGTATCGTTGCTGCTGCTATTAAACTGTATCGAACACTATTAAGAACGATCGATCGCCGTCGAATAATGCTATGAAGCACTTGTGATTGTGAGAACTGTTCTTCTATACCTGCTCGGATACTTCTCACTGCTCCAGAATGGATGAATGCTACGTTGTCGGTTCGATTTCTCTCGTTCCCGTGACGCGAATACTGATCCCTCCAAGGATCGGATTAGATATTATTTACGATCGCGAATCGTGGCTCTGCTCGATCTCAATTCTCCTGATAGCGTGTTCAATGAATGCGGACGTCCAGGGAATTACATTATTGAACGAGGCACACTGTTCTAATAGAGTTCGCAATAATCTCATCGTAAATGATGGCAGATAAATCACAACAAGTTATTAAAACTGAACTAAACCTAGTTCTCTAACATCATTATTCACGATTTACCTATAAAATACGACGCGACTATTTAAACGTGCTCCTCTGACTTGGTATTTATTTGTTACGCCAACACGCTTGCAGCGTTCCGTACATTTTTACAGCCGTTCTTATTGCACGGTTCGATGAAGTTACAGCAATCCTCGCACACAATGAAGAATTGGATACGACGACGCAGAGTGAATCAATAAGAAATGTTATTTATCTACCTAGTTACAGATTTTATTAGACAGACATATCATGTACATGCATCTCGTTTTGTCAAAATATAATTAATGATCTCGTATAACAAATTCATACAATTTTATCAAAATCATTGGATAATAAGAAAATGTATAAAACACTTGTTATTGACTTGTTCTGTACATATGTATATGCAACGGACACCTGTTAACGCTAACGATACTCGAGCTGTGATACCGGTTAGGCAAGAGAAAGTTATAATAAACTCCGTACAATATTCTCCTGAGTACTAGTAAAACTGTTTACACGATACCTACTTTTTAGTATAATTATCGTCTAACCATTGACGAAAATACATTCTGTTTCCTTCTTCTCGTATCGCTTTTCATTTTGCAACGGAACTTGGAAGCTTTTATTAGAAATCGAAAATTGGGAACTACCATAGGTAATTTCGAAGATTTCAAAAGATACATTGCACACGCGGCGATGTATCATTGCTGAATATTTCACGCATCAAAGATTACAGTTGTGTAACTGCAATAACTATGATCGGCCTCTGCGGAGATTATTACGACTTCGAAATCGTTTTGCGCGAGTAACGTTGATTGATATTCACAATAATCGAGCACCTATTGCGAAACGGAGAAAACGACCTCGAATTTTTTCCAATCTATTTGTATTCTACAGACTCCTGAAACCCTTTGAAAATTAGACAGATCTCCGTGCACCTAATCTAAAGAGGCATGCAAATTCTATTATGTCCAGATAACGTGCCTGTATTGATTCTCTTTTGCCTTTCACTATCCAGTCAGCAGAACATTACGTAGCAAGAATCAAGAAGCATGTTCTATTTCTACAGTCTTCTATTCCAAATCCATATCCCTATACATCTGATTTTTCAATTCGAGTAGAATTTATTTATGAAATTGTCACAAGTACTATGGCTTGAAATTGTAACTTGGTATTGATTCAAAGGGGAGTTTATGCGCCGATGGTATTGTTACGACTGCAGGCCACGCCATGTCATCTCGATTCAGTATGAATGCGCAAAGTGTACCTCGAGGAGGGATGTCAAGGCCAGGGCTACGTATACATGATCGACGCGTAATCTTATCGCGATATCAACGAGACTTGTCCTTATGTCGGAATCTGATGTTGCATAACTCTTTCAACGTTACTGAGAGAGTCGATTGCCGCTTATTTATGATCGTAATCTCTTTCAGCTGCATTAAACGATAGATGTTTCTGAATGATTCCTGAATGTTTAGTATGTTTTTAAAAGCATAAGTCATATCTGATAGAGATTGAACTGAGTACACAGTGAGTAATGATTACTTCGAATTGGCCTTGCATTTTAAGTGGATAATGCTCGAAGCAGTTTCAAGCTCGTCTTAATCTTCGATAAGGAGTTCTTCAAGTTTTTGGGATTCCTCGCTCGTTTAACACTGTTATTAATCCGACGATAATCGTACAATTTCTCACAAGGTCTTCATTGGACGTATAGGACATGAACAGCGGCGTTTCTACCATGTTTCGCATTATGTGGGTAGTAAGTCGCGTTGCGACCTGACGCCTCAGACAGCATAGAACGAATGCCGCATAGCGATCCTCGAAGAAAGCTGTGCCATCCAGAGAGGCAGGCAGGGTCAAGGCTGCGTCAGGACATGCACACGCGATACCGTGCACGCTCTTTCGAACTCGCATTCGAATCGATGCCCCTCGCGAATCCAACACCACAGTCACAGTGATTCTTAACGAGCATTCTTGCTTTGGAGAAGCTCGATAATGAGCAGCTTCGACGTAGCACTTTTTGAATTGCACGTCTTTTCTTTTTTATTCTGAAGACCCAGCGGAAAATAAGGTGCGCAAAACGTGAGATGTTTGCCACGCCTTCTTTTATCGCGCGTCGAGTCGTCTTGGACCATTTATAGAATAATGAGTTTGAAAGAGATAACTATAGTGCAAGTCCTCTTCTTTAGACTGTAATTGTTCCGAGTAATGAAAATAGATTGCACTGACTTGAAGAAATGTTAATCAACTATTTAGTTGAAGTTTGCTTTCCATTAAGGCACGAGCTGCGAAACCGGTAATGCACGTTTGTTCCCGGCGAGTTTAAGCTTAATTAAAGCGTTTACATATCGAAAATAATGAAGCTGCATCTTACTTATCTACAGCCGCTTGCATTTACGTGCCGTTCTATTATTAAATACTTTGAAGGTGTGCGAATTAGGTTACACGACTTTTAACTCATTACCAACTAGACTAAAGTTCCTACGATCTACAAACAATGAACTAAAACTCTGAAAGCCGAATCGTTCGCAACTTTTTAGTTGCACTTTTCTCGTGTGTGAGAAGAATTTTTAAAAAATAAAAAGTAAAACTAATTGAACTTTAATGAATTTAATTAAAATCAGTTTCACGCGCAACTACGAAGAAAACGATAGAAGAATGTTTTATCGAATGAACAGGTCGAACATTTTTCTCGACAGTGTAATTAAATTTCCCTTCCGGAATTAGTTTACCTGTAAACGCGTAAATGTTTCCGTCTCGAAAATACCGGAATACGTAGTCGAAACAATTCGTGCAACTTTCTCATTTGCATTTCGTCGAGATCGAGCCGGCGATATGTAAATCTACACCGGTTATACCTCGCCGGTGTCGCATGAGAAACATTTTATTACGCGACATTCATACCAGCAAATATTTTAGAAGCGAGGCCATTCGCTTTCCTCAAAAAGGATTCACCACTCTCAGTCTGAACGAGGGCGATAGATCTCGTGCATACATACACGAAATGCGTCAATAAGAAGTTAGTACGCGACGGAACAGGTATTGATAATGACGAACGCGAGATTAATGAAAGAGACGCTTGAGTCACGTGCATTATCCGGGTTCCATTAAAATTCCGCATCGAATCGACGACGACGCGACGCGACGTGTGAAATCGCTAGAACGTTTGCCGGGCATGATACTCGACCATTCTTGCTGGTGCAACTGTTACATAAAATCTAGGACAGCGTTCCGCAATAGCTTCCACCGTCGATTATTTACTTACTTTCAACTTCAACCGAGAGGTTGTTATCTGGCTGGTAGCTCGCATCGTGCTCTGCGTAAACTGCATTCAGTACGTATGTGTTGCAATCGATGCAGTTCCTTTCAGGAATTTTTATCGTTGCTGGCAATCGTCTCGATAATGATTCATTTATTACCGGCGACGACATAATTGGCTACATAGTTCCAACGATATTAACATTTTTTCCTGCGAATCAGATGAGCGTTTCATTTTAAATTAAAGAGCTATCAGATGTAGTTTATTCTAAGAGTAGACGTCTATGGTGCATTGCCCTCGGCTATGTCTATATCTATTCCTCTTTATCCTGCAGCTGCCTCATAAATATCCACCCTTTCTATCATCGTGCAAGCCTTTAACCCACGGGTCTTCATACTTTTCCGATTCTACCACTAGATGAAAAGATTCCGAAATGTTCCTTAGACCTATTACTTCGTAATGTGTTATTCTGCTTGGTACGATGTAATCTGATTGCTACAAAAACACGCAAGACTTCGTAGTTAATATTCTTTTTGTTTCACAGTTTCACCAAACGCTGCTAACTTATATGCAAGACAGAATATGGGATTTCCATTTTTACGTGGCTAATGACTGGCCCGATGATGCGATCTGTTTGCATTTCCCAGGCATGACGTTATCTGTGAGTATACAGAGTAACAGAATCCATTCGTTTTATATTAAGCCATAAGTGGCATCGATAAAAGCCTCGCGCCGCATAGCAGATGCAATCTGTTTTACATGAAAGAGGAAGGTACGTCGCATACATTTAAGAAAAAAGTAATAGCAGATCGTTTAATAAAATGTAACAAAGAAACGATAAAACTGAGAGGAGAACTTTTATCTCGCGTGCGTTCGACAAGTAAATCTTGTTTCTGAATGTATCGGGCAAGGGTGCAGAGAAGTTGGCCCAAATCCTCGGTTGGCTCGTGGCCAATCTTTTGTTCCGCAGCCTTGCCAGCCAGTTTCCACCGCTCGCAACTCGTCTAGTCTACTGTCCCGTCTTATTTCACGCTCTTTACTTAATCAACCTCCTGCCCGCAATCTTCGCTCGTTCGATAAGTTCCTATCATTCGATCTTCGCGTCCTCTCGGAATCCTGACAGTTTGTAAATTAACCGCGGCCGAGAACTTCGATATTCCTCTCCACTTGTTTATCATTTAAGGATGTATTGGCTATACAGTCAATTCCAAAAGTTTATGTACCTTAGAAAAAAGGAATTTCCTATAATTAAAAAGAAATCAGACGTCGGAAGNAGTGCATAAACTTTTGGGATTGACTGTATAGCCAATACATCCCTAAACGGGACCGACCGGGGCGAACTTCCGAATCACGGAAATTCGTCCCGGACAGAAAAATTCATGTAACCCTCGCTTCTGATATCTAAAATTAATGATCGATCCTCCGCGTTACAGCCGCACGGTTTGCTGTTCGAGAGCGTGGGCGTCTTTTGTCCTAATGATCGACTAGAACTGCTTCAATTACTGAGGGACGAGGACATTCTGATCGACTGGTCGAAACCCCTCTACATAAATTTCGTTCACTACGACATTGCCGAGGAGCTGATGCGACTTTACGAGGGCACTGGTACGATCGAGAGGGTAGTAGGGGACGTCTTCGGATGCAAGAACCCTCTGAACTTGGACGTCTTCGAGGAACCGGACGAAGAGTTGGACCCCGACATTCAGGTTCTACCTTTGGAAGCTGAACACGCTAAGGGGATCTACGAATTGTATCCCGCCAACGATATGGAGTGCCATGAGCTCTTCCGACGATTAATCGATAAGCTTCCGGCAGGCGGAGTCTTCCTTAAAGGCAGTTTAGCTGCCTGGATGGTCCAGTCTTACTATGGAGCCATGTTCTCCATGCAGACTAAGCCAGAACACCGAAGGAAGGGTTACGGGACGAAATTAGTAAGGTAAACAGATTTACATTTGGTAATTGAAGTATCGAGCTTAATTCTGAGAAAATTGGAGGAGCTGCTAATTTCGTTAAAACGTTTCATCATGATTCTTCATTCATAATAGCAAAATCGTAGGTACCTGACAAAACGTGTGGTCGAGAAGGGTTACCAGCCTTTCGTGGTGATACGTCCCGAAAACGAAGCCAGCCAAAGTCTGTACAAGAAGCTGGGCTTCAGGAAGCTCTATCAGACTGTCCGGATGACGTTCATCCCGTCGACGTGGCAGGACGAGGAGAACGAAATGAGTCGTAATTTAAGGGAAAATTTGGAGAATGCTACTAGGCAGTTGACCATCGAACAAAGCGTCGTGGACGCGTTCAGAAGTCAGGAAGACATTTCTATCAACGTGGAAACTGTAGAGACCGACGAGTTATTGGAAGAAGAGGATAATGCCGACATGGTGATCGAGGATCCCGACGACAGATTCGAAAGTGGAAACGAATTCGAGGTGGAAACAAAATTGTCCGAAGGAGTTAACGAAAGAATAGAGGTGACTGAAGAATCGACTGAAGGAGTCGAGGAAACAGTTGATGTACAGGATGATGGAACGGCGACCGACGATTGTGGTAATCAAGACGACGGAGGAACATGCGCTGGGGAGTAATTAAAGTTCGATTATTCGAGAGGTCCATGGTTTACGTCATGTCGTTTGCTCGAGAGTCTGCTCTTTTTTCCACAGCTGCTAATTGATACCATCGTCAGAAAAAAAGATAGCGATGTTTGCCAGGTAATCGGGAAAAACTAATTATATATAAATTCTTTAGAAATTCGACTACAGCTCTCGTCTAAAAGAAAAATTCTATAATTAACTCGACAGTTGATGATAATGGAAAGTACTTTGGATCGATGATATGTCCTAAGACCTTTCATTAGGGCGATCTCTCGAGCGACACGACCGAAGAACAGAGATAAAGAATTATTTTAAGAAACTTGATTATGGCACCGCGTTCGTGCGAGGCTTCGATTCGCGTACGAAGAAGTATTACAACGTTATGCTGCGTACGGGTTCCTCATATCACTGTTAGAAGAGTATCGTGAAGATCTCAGGAAACAGAGGTATTCTTTGAATTGCCAAGAGTAGATTATTTCAAAGTCTATCATCTCGTATTCCGTGTGTTTGTCACGATCGAGAAATAACCGTGACATTAATTTGCTGGAGTATTTTCGAATCGACTGCCGCAGCCGATTAGGTACGACGTAGGTATTCGTATCCTCGAGTTTTTATCGAGTAGAGCGTGAGTTTAAATCGTTGTTTGTCGTATAAATTAAATATAATTGGCAAGAATATTTAACGAGTAAAAATTGAAATAAGTGCTTTCGTTAAAGTCGAGCGACGAGCGACTCGTTAATCTCTCGTAGCGACCAAAACGCGATAGACTTTGAATTACTAACCACACGCACTATCCAAACGACGAATCCTATCATAATTATAATAAGAAACAAAAAAGAGATAAAAACAAACAGCGCGACTGCTTATAAGATTTTCGCGCCGTATCAATCTGTGATTATAATTTCCTTATGATAAAAGTAGCGTTCCGAACAGAAATTGAGAAGCCTCGTGCGACCTCGACACGCTTTCCTTAATACAAGTAGAAGCCAATTACTGTGCCAGTGCGCTCGAGCGCAGTAAATATTCAAGCGCGATAATACGAGTGAAAACTTGTAAACTAAACAGTACTTATATGTATATATATTTACATAGTGAAAGAAAATTTTCTCTAAAATCGATCCTCAAGCTTTTGAACGAACACGCGCATTGCGTGATCTCGTTTCGAATTTAATTAAGGGATTACGGGCGATGGGTCCGTCTGTCTCTTTTACGATTTCAAGAAACCGTTCGAATATTTTTTTATTAGAAGCTGAACAATTTCTATCAGTACAAATGTGTTTGAAGGACAGGGAAATTGGTCAGGTGACTCAGCGCACGGACACAGCTATCGGTCTAGCGTGCGAGCCATGATAATAATATTAATAGACCATACGATTGATAAATACTATTAGTTTACAGAATATACATGTATGATATACGAATTGTACCGCGCAAAAAAAAGGGAAGCCCGATCGGCCCGGTTCGCTTAAAGAGAAGTCCTTTTTAGAGTCTAGATAGTCAATATTTGTATTGTTTTTTCTATGTTAGATATATACATATATTATATACATGTATGCAGATGATACGTCTCGTCGATGTTGTTCGACGCGGCATAGAATCGCGCGTGTAAGAGAAAACAGGTTTTGAAAAAGGTCGGAGCTGGGACGACCGGGTCGTTCCTCGAAGGCCCTCAAAAATCCCTCCTTTATTTTGGATTTTCGACATTTCCGGGGGTCAGCTGTGATATTTTTCCCACTCCACTCTTACGCTCTGGTCGCAGTACCGTAAAAGAAAATTACTTAGAATCTAGGCGAAAAATTGATCGTTGTTAAGGACGAACGGGACACGCTGAGAAACACCTTGAATTCCATTGATGTGTCGTCACCAACGTGCTTAGAGTAGCGGATACAAAATTGACCGTTTTTACATCGATTCAGTTAACTGAGATCTTGGAGGACCAACGGAACAATTGGTATCGGTTCGAACGGCGTGAATAGCAACAGTCGATGAATACGGAACGAAATCTTATTATATGAAACGTCGTGACAAATTATTGTCCTCTGAGCGCAAATCGTGTTATGCGTTGGGTATGTTGACCTAACCGCGGTACAAAGAAGATAATTGGACAAATCTGAGGAAGCAAACATTGATATTTTGAACGTACGCAACAACGTAGCGTTAAACGTGTAAACGTAAATTGATACAAGTCGCTTAATCAGCGAACATCTGAAAAATTGGATTTCGTATTTCGAAGTAATTAATCTTACCTGGGCTACAGAATCCGTCACGATTTCTTACACATTTTCTTACACTGTGCACAATCTGGATTCGCGGAAACGATTGAAACAAAGTGGAACGGTTGTTACGAGGAAACATGAATCACTCTATCGATGAACGAAACGGAAAGCGCACTAATAACAATTATTATACGTAACTTCGATAACGCGGATCACTCCGGATAGAACATAAATCATATGTTTTCACGATCGAAAACCTCATGGTAGTTCCTACATTTAATACTAGATAGCGGAGGCGGTTAGCGGCGCTGTCGCTAGACTTGTTTTTCTTTCGATTTTAAGTTCTCCCGCGCAGCGTCTTCTCGAATCGATTCCTCGATCGCGCCATGTCAATTATCGTTAACCCTCGTGAAAAAAAAGTGCTGCTGCTCCTTGTGTCGTTAATACTACTTATTGCCAGAATATCGGTGAAATTTCATTCTCTTTATTCCTGTACATATCAATTTGTGTCCTTGCAACCGAAAGAAGTAGAGTTCTGATCATGAAATATCCCAGGCAGAAAAACCGAACTTACTCAAGATCAAGTAACCTGTTGACGAGTTAACTGACGAAAAATGGACGATTCATATGTTCTCGCTTCATCTCGGTTAAAAGCTGTTTCGAAATTAAGGTAAAGATTTACTTCCATATATTTTAAGTATAGCTTCAGTCGATTGTTCTGGCGTCAATTGATTTCCGACGATTAGTGCGCATATCACTCGCACAAAACGATTTCTCGTAATAGCCGCGTGACGTGCAATTCCGTTGCACTGGTTCGCATAAATTCTTCCGAGTTACATCGTTTACCCTGTATTCTGAAAGACTTATCGTAGATAGTTAATGAACAGTAACGAGCTATCAATTTTGAACAATACTTTTTGATAACAATCGTATATTCTCGCACGATGCTTGTCCTTTAATTGAACCGTTGCAACGGGAAGTCACGAACATTAGTCCGAATGAAAAAATGACGGGCAACAACGAAATAATCACTAAAATTAAATCTACGCCTGCATCTACATAGTTCGCTAAACCTTAGCGCAGTGCAAATCAGTGTTTCGCGAAATAGGCCTAAAATCCGTCTGTCGACACCTAAACAACACGTTTCTTCGACACTTATTGTAAATATATATGATATACGTATACATATATACACACACACATATATATATATATATCCTTCCTATCTTCTCGTGCACGTTACCTTCCGCAACAACAAAAATTCTTGTCTGGAGCAACACTTAAATTTCTGTCACACTACATAATATGAAAGTTATAAAAAAGAGAAAAATTGTTGGATAAATAAGAGAAGGATTATATATTACGAACGAATAACTTATCGAAAGTTTATTTACTGTACGGAGCGAGAAGTACTAAAGTTAAATCGTAAATGGTGCGTGATGTTTGGAAAGTGCAGTTCGTCTACCGCGCTAGTAGACACTGATTTGTGCAATTTGTATGTTCGATAAGGATAAAAAAAAAGAAGTATAGCGTGAGATACCGCTAGTTTTATGAAAACTGGACATTGGAAGAGAGCTTTAGGTAATAAACGGAACAAACAAATATGATTTTTCAACGGTGGTATAATTTATTGCTCACTCTCTTATCGACACAATTTTCCGGTGCATATCAACCGCGTTTATTCAATTTACGTTTAACATAAGAAACTCATAGTTCAGTTGCTCAAAACTCATCGTACATTTTTTGATTCTATTTGAGTTCTCTGAATTCAGTTTTTCACAGTCTTCATTTCTAGACATTCATCGCTTTTATCTTACAGGGCACCTGATGTTTCTAAACGAAAACGACTTACAATTCCTGAAACAAGTAAAGAAGTATGATCGCACACTTACATTGCTCGGAACGATTAACAATTCGTAAAGCACGATCGATCAACGTTCGATAACATTACACCAACGTTCTTGTTGAAACTTCGCAGCCACATTTCACAGTACTAGGTATACATAGTTAAATATCCCTGATTCCTAAAGATCTCGCATTAAACCATGTTTCTTCACAGTCAGCTGTCCCATACTTCGAAACTGTCAATTCACACAAGTTCACCAGTTCCCGTCGCGAGTTAGACTTTAAACATGTACCTCACGAACCCATAGTCTGCGATATAAAAATCCAATCGGCCACAAGTTACTGATATTCACCACAGGTACGAGGGAATGAAGATTTCCCCATTATCCTGGCATAAATGAGTCACTGAAAGCACAAACTCACGATAAAGGTACAGCACAAAAAACGCTACTCGTCGCTGTTTGATACGAATCGAGTTGATACCAATCGTCTTACAGTTAGAAGCAGATCGTAGGTTTAAAATGGCGTGTACAACTGTGGAGTGACGGGACATGGGTGAGAAAGATGGTGCAGACTGTGCAGAGTGGAGAATATTGGAAATGTTTCACGAGGTACTGCGCCGAGCGTTCTACGAGAAGGAGAAGAGACGACAGGTGACTGGGTTGCTGCGCCATGCGCGTTGCTCGCTCGGCCTCGGGATCGTCCGTCGGCGTTCGTCGCCGTTCGGGCGCCTCCGGCGGCCAGTGGTGGGGCGAGCAGTGTATCCGTGACGTCACATAATTAGAGTAAATACAAAGTAGTCTTGATGGGACAGCGGCGTGCGCCGCACCGTGAGTCGCTGGTCCGCGCGCGTCAAACCTATATCGTTTCGATACACGCACACCGCGTTTGTGTAGCTCGTGATATATCGCGCTATGTGCCGTCAGTGTGTGTGTGCCAAAGGATCCTAGATGACTGTGGGAATAGTGAGTGACAGTCGTGCAGCAAAGAAATGGAAAAGATAGAGGTGAGTGTAATTTTAATATTAAAAAGTAACATGCGGGATTGAAAAAAAAGTGACCCGTACCGGCCTGGTACGATTCCGCGCATTTCGAATAATTTTTTTCTATAATTCTAATTTCCCTCGTTCATTGTTGAATTCGTCCGACGTGTTTCTCGCTCGTCCGTAATGCAGAAGTGACAGCGTGGTGACGAGTGGGGGGAAGGGGTAGTGACTGGAGGGGAGGCGATCGTGTAGTTAGGCATCTGGTAACGAACGCAATTGTGTGTATCTTCAATGTGTCACACTATTAGACGGACTGATTACCTCTCCCTCTTCCACCCGTTATCGTCTGTGTCGCTAGCGTCTTCTTTTTCTGTTTCATTTTCATTTCTCTCTGTCAACTTTGTGATTCTAGCCTCATCTCTCTCGCACGTTTCTTGGCCCTCTTCTACCCTCCGCACGCTTCCCCTCTCTCTCTCCTCTAACCACCCCCACTCTTCTTTTTCTTTCTCTCACTCGTTCGAATGGCTTGCTTGCTTACTCTTTCTCTCTGTCTTTCTTCGTTTACATATCTCACTCATTTCCTCCACCTCCTCTCTCTTTATCTCTCGTATTATTTATTTCTCTCTTTCTCACGCTTCCACCAGTATACTTTGTGTCTCTTTTTCTCTCTCTTTTCTCGCGTTCTCTCATTCTCAGTTAGTGAGGTATTTATAGATGTGCCTTAACCCGATTTAACACAGCTACCTCGACTCGCATTGTCCTAACAACGGTTTAATGAGAAATTACCTTTTCCCCCAAATTTTATGCCCGTTATTCGGATTACTAGTAAAATTTTTCTTTCGGCCACGTTTCGGACTAACCGGGGTTCACAAAAGAAAGGTTGAAGGGACAACAACACGTTAAAGCCACTATTCGTGCACATATCTAAGACTCGAATCGATAAGTATGTCCGTTATTATTAGGTTGAAATATTATGGTACATCGTCGGAATAAATAGAGCGTCCTCCGTTTAAAGGAAATTTTAAGAGCGTAGGTACGTTTGAATGCCGTGAGAAAAATATGTTTAAAAATATGCGTCTAGAGTAGTATATAATTCGCGGAAAGAGCTTATGGTCGGATAAAGAGTTTTTACGAGAACTTTTATTATCCATGCACTTTTCCTTCTCTCTCATTCCCTCTTTTGTTTACAATGAGAAAACAATCGATCTGCCGTTATTTATTTACCACTTGAAACACAAAAATGATTGACTTGTAAAGTTCTGATGATTCAATTACTGATTTACTGCGGATATATTTTTCCGTTATTTTTAATACATTTCACGCAACCACTTTTTTCTATTTTTTTTCCTCGTCGCCCCACCTACTACTCTTTGACTCCCTCTCTGTCGCACGCTCGCTGACTAGCTCGTTCTCCCCTCCCCTCTTTCTTTCTCGCTCACTATGTCTCTCTCTCTTTCTGCCTTTATTACTAGCGCACGAATTGAAAGTATACATTTGAGAATTAAATCGATAATGTGGGGTCGCGAGTCACGGTTGGTAATTATTGTATCTGGACTCAAGCGGTGAGCCTTATTTTTTTTTGTTATCATAACTCGACACTGCGAGCATATAATACGCGTAAAACGGTTTCCTATTGTCTTATTCTCCGTAACAAGGAGACAACAAACTTGCGCAGTTTTTCGTCGCTTTTGTCTCAAGTATAACTACTGAAAATATTCTCTCTGGCCTTTTTTTTTTTGCGAATAAAGCTTGCTTTCCTGGCGAGCTATTTAGTATCCTCAGAAATTTCTCTTCTCCTCTTACGTTTTTCCGTTATGTTTTGCTCGAGACGAGAAATACATACTGTAAGAAAATGCCACTAGTAGATGCAATAATAATCAGAGCGCCAACGAAAATTCTCATCCCTCTGCGACCTATACTCGAGCGTCTATGACGTAATAAAATTATATATTTATACGACGCGAAGCTATTTGGAGTATGATAAGTGAGACACGGTGAAATGATATTATTATGCAATATTGAATACTTATCATATAAACTAAGTAACGTCTCTTGATAATATTAATAATCACGGACCTACGGTGCTTACGTAAACCCAGTAATTATTAACGTAGCAATATAAATGCATTATTCTCTCTTCTTGTTTCTACGTTCTGTTCTTTTTAATTCTATATCGTTACATTCGACGTTCATAAATTATTCTCAAATTATTTAGGTTTTATTAAATATTCAAGTTCCGTAATTGAATTTAAACATATAAATTTTCATTTAAATTAAAGGAGAATCGTTTAATAATTGAATCGAGTTTATACATACGTCAAAGCGTGCGTTTCCAACTGAATTTAACAATTCACTGGACAAAAGAATGTTTCATAAACAACAGCGCTCGTCGGTTTTTATTTATTAAATTCTGCTCGTTCAATTAAATAATACCGTGTCCTTCGGTCGAACGTACACACGCACACAATCGTGCCGCTGCCATTCTTGCCTTCCTACTGCGCCTGTGTACGATACTTACTAACGTCTTAAAAAATAACAGAATATTTATTTTACCTTGACTGTAATCTTCGACTGAGAATCGAATTGTCGCAGCGTTCAGTTCAATGTACATACTACGTATACATAAACGGTTTATCTTCCTTTTTGATTTTCCTCTTTCGTAATTATGTGCTTACTCCGCGAGTTATACATTAAAATTGTTTCGAACGAGATGTCTATTTTTGCATCGGAGAAAATTGCGTCATGCCCTGACACGGCACTATTTACGTTTAAGGATTTCGATATCGTACAAACGTATGACAACTCTGAAGCAGATTAAACCTCGGAATTTTGTGCTCTGCCCGCGGTCGTAATTCACGTCGTCGATAACTTTGCAGCTTTCGCGTAACCTCGCGCATACCTACGCAGGTACATACACGTATAAATATGTACGTATGTACACAATAAAAAATACTTCTCACGGCAATCATTTTCTCTCGGGATTTATGTAATATAATATTCTATCCCCGTTGTTCTTGATTCTCTATTCGCGAACGCGAGCATGGATCGACCGCAAATATAGCGCCGATAAAAATACTGTCCGTGCCCGTAAGATAATTATCTCGTGATTCACCGTCTGTTGTTTCTCTTCTCGTTACAGATAGTTAATAAATTTTATACCAGTGTCTAATTTTTTGTTTCTATCGTGCTCCGTAAATTAGAATAACGTACGAAATGATCGTGAATGTAATTTCTCTTTTAATATTCTTCTTCATAGTTCGCTCTATAATATAATTTTACCTCGTCCGGAAAACCGTGAATTCCTGTTTTACATTTGTAATTATAATTCGTATCGTGGTACGCTCTCACGCACGTACACACCCACTCGAGGTCTACGTGTCCATATGTATACTTATTCGAGGAGCACGTACAATTTCTTATCTTATTATTTCCACGTATGTATTTTTTCCTTTATTAATTTACTGGTAATCGGCCGTGCATACATATATTTACTTATACGTGTTCGCCTATTCCTACAAGCTTACGTATCGTAGTGTCACCGGTACTGTTTACTTAAGATCTCTCTCTCTCTCTCTCTCTCTCTCTCTCTCTCGCTGTTTCTCTCTCATTGTCGGTCCGTGTATCTGCGTTGGCTCGTGTTGGTACGCGTGACACGATGCGCGCGCGCATACACGGACACGTACCACGTATACAGCACGAGTCAAATTCAACGAACCGAGCGGGACAGGCTGTTTCACTAACAATAGGGGTGCGCGCCTTTGAAAATGTACTTCAAATAATGATCGCGACGCTAAGCGCACTTGCAGTTATCGCGTAAAGCCACCGGCCAGGGAAAACCAGTCCGGCCGATGGATTTTACGATCTTTCAACGACAAAGGAAATTAGCCGATAATTCATCCGGGCCCGCGGACGCCAACGGTCCCGTTTCAGCCGCAACTCAATTGCCGATTCATAATTAAAATTTGTGTACATGCGACCGGACATATTTATTTGCGCTCGCGCGCCTCGTCAACGTTGCGTGTATTATCGATCCCTGTGCGTTCGACCGGACGGAATATTCATAATCCGTGAAAAATGAATTTGGGTTAGCTTATACAGTCGTTTAACAAAAGCGGTTTGTTCATTAAAATTTTTGTCAGGAAGGTGCTCAGTAAAAATAGATATCCCTCGTTATTTATTATTAATATTATTATTATTATTATTATTATTATTATTATTAGTATTAGTATTAGTATTAGTATTATATCCGTTTGAATTTTTTTATTCGTTTCTTACTGCCACCCTCATGTGGCCCGTCAGAACACCTCCCCCTCCATTACGTAGCTCGTTCCCGCTCTTTCCTCTCTGCTAACGACATTAAAGGAAAGTACCCCGTTGCTGCCTTAATGGAATTTACTTTTGTAGCTTCGCAGAGCTCACCATACTTTACTGAGTTAATTGCACCGCGAGGACGGATCTGAAAAAACAAGTGTCTTGATTTGACGCGAACAATGGGACGCTCTTCGCTATATTATTTCGCGAAACGGGGAATCAAAGGAGCATTTAAATCTTGAAATCTCGCCTCCAGAAGGCGCGTATCAATTATTGCGAAATAATTTCACGGAGTTATCACATTTTGGCGAACATTGTCCGACCGTGTAGTAAATTGTTACATCGGTTCAAGCGTTTAGATTTGTTTGATCGCGTGCTGCGGGTAGGTACTCGTCAAAATGAGAGCCGATAAGAAGCTCCCGCGCGATCAAGATAACGCGGCGAACGTGAAAACAGTTGTTGAATGCAATGATACGGAGCGAGCGCGCGTTTAGAACGACCGCCGACGATAATGATACCGTCCATTATGGAAAGTTGTTGAATCCAAATATAAATTCGTGTATATACGCTCGTTGTTTGTACGCTCGGCTTTATGGTCGCCTCATATTCCGGGAGAAAGTCGTTTCCGATGTTGATTTGCATGCGTTAAACGCGTGTTGCTTGAACTGGTAATAATTACAAAATGAAACTACGAAAAAGAGTCGACAAAA